TTCTAGCCATTGAAAAAAGAAGTGACATTGTTAAGGGTAAATCGACATTGATTCATAAATTCGAATTTTTATTTTTTAAAATTTTAGTAACCTAACAGATGGGTTGGTCTGAAGTTCTAAAATTGGAAAGTAGTTTCCGTTGGAAAGAGTTAATTTAACAGATTAGTTGATATGAAGTTCTGGAATTGGAAAGAAGTTTCCATTAAATAAATATACTACTAAATTATATGAGTTAATGCGAAGTTGTGAAATTTAAAAATTAAAATTAATTTAGGTTGAATGAATAGAGACAGAGTCATTGATGACACGGATTCATGTTGCGGAGATTCAGTAGTACTATGATATATATATATATATATATATATATTTTTAAACATTTTGTCATGGGATCAGCTCGAATCGTTGTCTTTGAGGAGGGGACATAAACTTTATAATCATAGTTAGAGCCACTTGACCCGAAGGTTAAGTTCAGTACTATGATATATTTTTTATATGTAATGAGCGAAAATTAAATTTTTAATTTTTAATTAAGAGTACAAGAAATTTTATTAATAGATTATGTATGTAATTAATGATAAACTATTACTACCACAGTAGTATGTAAGTATTGCGATGTTATATTATGTGTCCCTATCCGGCATGAACCTCATCGTTGACTGCAAATTTAAATGCAGTTGGTGATGGGTTGCTTTTTAGCATAATTATTCTAGCAGTACATTATTAGAACCCCTTTTAATAAGGTAATTACTTCGTCTTTCCATTTCATTTTAATTGTTTAACCTTTTAATTTTACACATATAAAAATAATTTCATTATTGATTTTTATAATTAAGTATTAAAATAACACATTTGTCTGTAATAAAATTTTTTATTATTTTGATAAATAAACTAAAGTAAAAGAAATAAAATTAAATAATAACTTTTAATATCTTACATAATTTTTTTTTAAAATAACACAACTAAATTAAAATATGAGGACAATTGGAGTAGTGGGTGTAACTTGACCTAACAAATTAATTTTTAGGTTAAATGTTAATTTTGGTTTCTTAATGTTTTACATCATTTTTATTTCATCTCTTAACTTTTTTTTTTGAACTTTTTTGATCCCTTAATTATAAAAATGTTTTTTTTTTTAATTTTTCGTCAATTAATCCATTAAATTTATTTGAATTTACACATTTTTAGTCCCTTAACTTAAAGTTGAGGGATGAAAAATGTACACATATTAGAAGTTGAGAGATTAAAAATGTGTTGATTTAGATAGACTTAATAGATTAATTGACGAAACTATTAAAAAAGTACATTTTCCATAATTAAGGGATTAAAAAAGTGTAAAACAAAGTTGAGAGATGAAAATTATGCAAAATATTAAGTTGAGGGACCAAAATTGTCATTTAACCTAATTTTTACTTATCACACACTCCTTAGACTTTTAGAATTTTCCATGCAGCAAGTTAATAAATGGGTTAAAGCCAACTGTAGTCCCTTTACTCTTAATTTTTATTCATGTCCATCCCTCTACTAAGGATTTGTTCATTGTCATCCCTCTACTTTCCCAAAAGCACTAAATGTCGTCCCTGTACTCCCCTTGTTTTGTTTATTGTCATCCTTTTATTGACGGCGTTGTTTTAGTCGTCTATTTGGACCGTTTAATCCACAAACGGTCAACTGTTGAAGCCTTTCCTGGAATTTTATTATTCCAAGTGTGTTGCCAGCTAGGAGAAGAGAAGCAAGGGGGTAGGGTACCGGATAGTGGGTCCATTCACGAACGAATTTCCAAGACTCACGAGTCACGCCTAAAAGTCTAAAACATTGATCACTAGAACTTGTGGGAGGGAGAATGCGATCACCCTAAAATTAATTCGTGACATTACACATAGAATGGACCCACTCTTTTACTCACTCGTGTGTATTTATTCATTTTTTTATTTAAAAAAAATATTTTGTTTATTTTATAAATTATCTTATTTATATATGTATGATTTATTTAACTTATACTGTATATCTTAAGAATATAATTAATATATATTTTTATATTAATTAATATAAAAAATAAT